CATCAGGATGGGTCTCACGTGAGACCTGGTCTCATAGAATTCTTACAGCACGTGAGACCTGGTCTCAGGGGGGTGCATATAGGAATCAGAGGATAGGATAGGCACGTGTGTGGTGGAAAGAAATCAAAGATTTTTAATGTAAAATATAATTGCTTTCCTATTGCAGCACAGCGCTGGAGCATGGCAGGAGCGGCGCGGCACAGCGCGATGCTGGAGACGGGCTCGGGACGGGGAGCGAGATGAGAGAGATACAGATTTTTGTGACAACTAGTTGTTCGTGCAGCTTCGGTGTAGTCAGATGAAGACACGGAGAGATGAGATGATATTCTTTTGTACTATGTTGTTGTTCGATGAGATGAGATGGAGCAGGTTGTTTTATGCTGCTTATAAGATGGAGAAAAGAGAGAGAGAGAGAGAGAGAGAGAGAGAGATCAGAGTGAGAAGAGAGAGTTGTGATGATTTTTTTTTATTTTTATGACGATCTTCGGTGTTAGTGCTGCTACTATTGGAGCTGAACCAGAGGCGCACTATATTGAGTACTTTGCAGATGAAAAAAGAGAGGAAGATCGTGTTGCATAATGCTTACTTATGATGTTTTTTTGACGGTATATTTGTTGGTTTGTTTGTTACGACAGACGCAAATAAACGGATTTATTGAGTGACTGAAACATAGTTGTGATGTAATTTAATAAGACTATTAATATATTTGGGTTACCACAAAAGTGAACCGATGATGTAGTGTGCATGTACTCAAGCTGAGCTATGCACCAAATATTAACCCAAATTAACCTTTTGATCCCAATGCTCATATAAAGTGTTGTTAAGTATTGGCTTGAATCCTTTCTTTGACGAAGACCCTCAATTCAAGTAATTCAAACCTTCTTAGTTCATAACATTTGATGCATGAATTCTTGTTCGTATTTTAATTTTGTTTTACTATTTTTAGGATAATCGCTACTTTATTTATTCTTTAGTTCACGACCATTTCGTCCAAAATACGCCATGGATAAAAAACGGGGATACATTAAAGGCCCGTTCGGAAGCTCGCTGGCTTCCCAAACGAGCCAGATTCTCGTGGAGCCAGCGCTAGCTCGCTTCTTGCGGGAACCAGCGTGCGTTCTGCAGCAGAAACAGTCCGAGGCACACTGTAGCGAGAGAAAAACGGTTCATGGGGCACTGTAGCGAGAGGAAAACGCTTCGAGGAGTCACTTCGTGAGGGCATTCCCACGTAATATCCAGCAACTCCAGCTTCTCGTTTCCGCGAAGCTAGGCAATCGCTGCTTCTCAAATTTGCACTACGGTCTGCTCGATCTCCAGGAGCAGGCTTCTTGAATCCCGCGCGTTCGGCCAGCTCCTCGCCCGCTTCCGGAGATGCGCGGAGCCTCTGAACGGGCCCTAAACCAAGTTTTTCACAACTTATTAACACAGCCTTCCCTCACAAGAATATCCGTCGCTTTGTTCGCCGGTCGCCTCGACCAGATCACCCCGTGCTCATTCACACCAACAAACAACTCCTTGATCTCTTCTATAAGAGGGCTAAACCTCGGACAGTCTTGATCTCTTGATTGGAAAGTAGGTACCACACCTTGATTGTTTGTCTTGAGACAAAGTTTTTCAACACTCAATTCCATCGCCAACTGAACACCTGTTGTAACATTTGAGTGGTAATAAATTACTTCTGTTTTCTAACCAATAATCTATATCTATATCTATATCTATACCAAAAGGGTTATCGCTTCTTCCTCCCTAATTTTCGTCCGTTTTCGGACCGTCCTAAAGTTTCGTATGTCAGTTGAATCGATCGATTTGAACCGAATCAGAACTACATGTTGGGCTTTAATCGTCCATCTGGGCACGGCCCAACCAAACCCATTTGATGCAGCACGTCCAGTCCAGCCTATTGATCCATTGTGTTAATTTTTTTAAAAATTCTTCTGTAACTAATAGTCCTACCCTGCTATATTACATCGTATCCTAGCAACTTATATAAGTTCTCCAGTCACAAGAATCAAACAGCCAAGGCAAAACAAACGTGGAGATCTGCCGCATGTATGCATCACCAATCGATAAAATATCTCCGACGAAGAAGAGCGGAGCAGCCTATCCAAGATGGCCCGGTCGGTGGGACGAGGTAGCAGGCCGGCTGGTGGATCCGGGCGGCGGGCGGCAAGGATGTTGGGGCAGAGCTCGAGGTGCCGGCGGAAGGTCACGTTGCAGCCGGGGGAAGGCCATGACGGCTTGCGGGGGCGGCTTCGGCCGCGGAAGGCTTGGGAAGAGGAGTCTAAGGGGAGACCCGTGGGGCAGCCGGCGGGGATAGAGGCAGGCGCTGGCGTGCGTTTGTGTGTGTGTGGCCGCGGCGCTGAGGAGCTGCGTCAAGGGACCGACGGGAGGAGAAGAAACTGGGGGACACACACGGCAAAAACATATAGCCCCCACGTCCAACAAAAAAAATTGTCTTCATGCAGTGTTGACGCCAACAAACAAGAACACAGACGTTTATATGTCAGTTGATCTTAATGAAGCTATTAATCTAGATCAGAAAAAGGATGTCATGCCTAACGTCCCTAAAGATGGACATATCTGGAGGTGGTATGGAGGAAGTTGGCAACCACATGATACACCCTTTTGACCCAAACATTGATGCTATGGAGGAACAACAACAACTGCATCGAGGTAAAAATACCTTGAAAGTATTGCATGCTCAACATTTTTATTGTCTATAAGAGACTACAATTAATAATCTGGTGTGGTATTTTTTCACCTGGCATCGACGATCTGATCTACAACGTTATACTGAGTCAGACGAAAAATGTGGTGTGTAATCATCAAACTTATCCTTTATCTGGCCAACCTAATTGGAATTATTGGTATTTGCTTCGTAACGAAGCACGTTAACTTATTTTCTCCCGTTGCAACGCACGGGTATTTTTACTAGTTTTATTCTAATGGTCCAATGTAGATTTTTTTTTTTAACTGAGTTGAAACTGAGATATGTTGTGGGGAAGGAATCCATAGGCAAAGATAAGGAAGGATATGATGTGACTTGAGTTGACTTTGTTGTTTAACTGCAAGTAATTTCTTTCTATTGACGATTTATTTGATTTTCGTTGATTGCTTTGCAAGGGATTTCTTTCTTCAGAAACATGGAAGTGAGGAGTCGGTTAGGTAAAAAATTAATAAGGGTTATTGCATGGTTTGAAAGAAAATTGGTGGGAGGGGGTGAAAAACGATGAAAGCTAAACCGACAAGCTCCCTTCTAATAGTAGAGATTTTTCGCTATTCTGCAAGCAGGCATGGCTCTGCATTTTTGCTATGCACCCAGTTATTTTTTTTATTTTCACTGGAAGGTATTGTACCAGTTGGCTCGGCAGCATGGCTACCTAAATTCTGCATCGAGAACTGTTAGCTCCAAACTCTGACCTGACGGCGCGGAGCAGTCCGATCCGAGATGACTTTCATCCACGATGGGCAACACTCGAGTAAATGCAGTAGTGAGTAGTGACAGCATAGATGATCTTTGCTTTCTGTATTTTTGTCGATATGTATGGTTCACCAAAAACACCAAGCTCGTACACTCAAAACATTCGAATGCAACCGAAATCGCTGCAGCGCGATCTCGACAAGTTCCGATTCTATGATTGAGACCAAGCTCAAAACACTATTATTAGATTCCCGAGTAGCAGGAATAGGTGTCCAATAAGGTTATCTTTCATCCCTTAAAGAAGGCTTAAGCATCTGCTTCCAGCTGCGAAATGATGCTTACAAACACTTGAAAGCCTTGGGCCATATCTGAAAACAGACAATACTCGTTCTTCGCGTGGTATGTCTTCAGTAAGCCTGCAGCATATCGGTAGCATCGTATGAGCACTTATATACACTAAAAGAGTTCAGCTATCTCACGTAAGCTGAGATAACCGAACGATAAATTAGGGCACCCAATGCAAATCTAGGAACATGATATCTGTCTGATATATAACATAATAACATGACCAATAGAAGTCCAGGAACGTCTGTTCTGTGCTCAAGTGCTTACCATATCCAGCAGTTTGAACATCAAATCCTTCATCCTGTAAAAGTGCCATCATGAATTTGCTTTAGCACACAGATATTGCATCAAAAAGACGAGTGTGTATGTTAGTTCTCGCTCAAACCTGTAATTCACGAATCAGAGGCAAACTCCCGGTGATGGAATACGGCTCTACGTATCCGACTATTTCCTCAGTTGCTTTCCATAATGCTTGAAAGCCCCGAGACTCGAGATTACAGGCCACCCCATTCATCACATCTCCATCAAAAGAGATTTCAAGCCTAGCACATTCAAACAGTAAACAATGAAAACTATGCCCTCCATCATCAAGATTACTGGTAAAAGTCAGTAAAGAAAGATTAATTCACCTTCCTCGCAGATTTTCATCCGGAAGAACATATTTCGAAACTGGACCACGAGTAGGAAGCTTTGTTTCAAGTCCAGCATTTATATCATCTACATACTCTTTTAACTTCTGAACAACAAAACTCGTGCTGCATGATAATAGCAGTAGCAACTATGAATTTAACACATCATTTAATACCCATAGAAGCCCATCCAGGAGAAGGAATAATACATATTGTACACATAAGAGATGGACTTACCTATAGAAAGGAGTCAACCTGCAACATCAAAAGAATCATATGGTCAGGAAACACTCAAAAACCCATGGAGTCTCAATAATATAAAAAAATAGACAACCTTACTACAGTAGCAAAAATAAAATAAAAAGGTGAACATGGATTATACTCCTTCCGTCCCATAATATATTAATATAAGAGCATTTTCAACACTAGTGTAGTGTCAAAAAAGCTCTTATATTATGGGACGGAGGGAGTATTTTTTTACTAGAGTCTTACTTACATAGAGATATGCGACCAGTGCAAGTCCATCACATTTTCTTTCTTTTTTTACTCCTATGTAAACACTCTACTCTATAAAGAATTCCACATTTAATTTCAGTAAGTGTTCAAAACAAAACATTCAGTTTCAGTTCCTCCAGCACTAGTAAGTACACATCAAACTAGACCACAAAGAAAAGTACATATCAAACTAAAACTTAATTGAATCATTTCATCTCAAGTGCAATTAAAGAGAATCTAAGAACCTCAGGGCAAGAGTTGAACCTTATATCCCCTGAAATTGTACATTCTCCAGGAATTTGGTTCAGACCACCACCAGGATCTGCAAAGCATCACATGTTTGGACCACACCCAATGATTTTTTTTCTTTTCCACATATTATAAATACACTGTTACTAAAACATATTTAAAATAAAGGTACAACAGGGACTTACAACTCCACTTTGTTGGCTTCATCGTAGATGGAGTAGCAAACTTGTAGAGCTTCTCTTTCTCGTGTGCAGGGAAGTCATTGTAAAACCGGGTTTGGATTTCTTTAAGTGCATCCATATTTAACTCCATCGAATTTATGGCCTTTGACAAAAACAAAAAACAGATACAGGGTCTTCAGAATTCAAAAGCACTTTTATACTCTGACAGCAAGAAAAGGTTAAAATGCTATATTTGGACTTCTTTGCCGTGTGAACTACTTGAATAGCTCTCTCCATAACATTACAAGACATGTCAAATAAACATGTGCAGAAAAAAAAAACGTATAACAGCAGAGTTGATTACACAATAAGTTCTACCAGTCATGTATCAACGATCACTTGCTTTATACTTTGTGCGTTATTTTGTTTTTGGTCCCATTATTCATATCTACGTTTGGTACTTTGGTACCAATCGCAAGGATGCTAACTTATTCTAGCAACTATATGATTTAACAGATCACATCTATAGAATATTTACTACTCCCCCCGCTTCACTATAATTATTCCCGGTGTAAGAAGAGTGTCTAAAAATATGTCCACTGAAGGAATCAAGAGGTCATTTTTCATCAACTTTCTTAGATTTTGTGTCTATACAGTTATATAGAGTAAAAAGGAGTGGCAACTGAACATTGTTCTAATGAGTCCAAATCAGTACCTTATGTGCAAGGCCACTGTGAAACAGCTTCCCTGTTGCCTTTAGATGCCAAGGGATCATCCCACCAGTACCAATGCATGGCTGCTTATCCGCAGTATCTATCCAAAACCTTCACAATACCACACATATAACCAACTAAATCAGCAAGAATTCCTCACGAACGACACATTACTTGGCCATTCTATCAAGGCAACAGAGTTCAATACTCACAAGGGTCCAGTTTTGAGCTTATCCAACAAACCATCCTTGACAAGGCCATCAACACCAATGCCAGTGACCGATGAATTCTCTTCATTGGCAATGAACACCGCAATGACAGAATGCTTCAATGGTGGTTTCACCTCACCAAGCCGCCGCATGAGCTGAGTCACTAGCGCCACATGACCAAGGCAGTCCGTCGTCCCACGGCCCCTAAGCTTTTCCTTGTCATCACCTTCGAATGTTAGTGAGAAGGGATCGAAGTCCTGCAGGAGTAGAAGATCCCAGTCCACTGATTAGTGATTATAATAACCAACAAAAGTAACAGAAATTTGACGAACAAATCAAGAGTAAATTTTGAGGTACAACTTGTTAGTAATCACTAATCGATTAATAATGCGACAGAAACAAAATGAGCGAAATCAAACAGCGCCAATGAGGAAAGGTGAAACTTTAAACAGTAGATATATACAGCAATTGAACCACTGAAGTGCTAACTTGAATCACAACACTCCAGAAGTCCACAAACCAGTACTGCGCCGAAACATGCATCTATTCCAAGGTAGAACAATCTAGAAGGCACTAACAGATCAGGGAAGGGTGCAGTTCGGGCAACAAGCTAGAAAGACCCCCAAATCAAGAAAGCCCTCGAATCCTTCGTCCAGGAACCCTAAGCCCCGAAATCAGCACTCACACATCCAAACGAAATCTGCTAGGAACTCACCCATTCGCTAGGGTTGGCCGGAACGACGTCCATGTGCATGCCGACGAAGGAGACGACGCGGTCGGGGACGGTGCCGGGGTACTCGACGATGACGTTGCTCCGGCCGTCGGTGTAGCTCACCTTCCGCACGACGAGCGGGCCGCCACCGGTGTCCGTCGACACCGGGCGGAGCGCGTCGACCACGTGCTGCGCCACGAGGTCCTCCTGCGGGACGAGGGCCGGCGGGTCGTTCTGCAGGCGCTGGGACTCGCCGATGAGCTTGGAGAGGAGGGCGACGAAGGGGTCGCGGTCCAGGACTCCGACGGCGTCCTTGAGCGGCGGCGCCGGAGATGCCATCTTAGACGCGGCGGCGGGTTGGGTCAACAGCGAAGGGAGTCCAGTCGAGGTCGAGGTCGAGGAACTCTCTGTGTTTGAGCAACTCTGGATGGATGTACTCCGTACGATGTGCGCATATGATGTGTCCGTGTCGACGACGGCACGGAGATGCGTGCCGTGGCCGCTGCGGTTCTTCAGTTTCTCTTTTCGTTTTTTCTTTTGAAATTCTTCTCTTCTCCTTCTCAAAAAAAAAATTCTTCTCTTCTCTTTTCATTCAACACTCATTTTCATGTAAAAAAACACCTTATCATTTCATAGAGTAAAAGTGCTTTTTCATCCATCAACTAATCACCAAGTGTGGCTTTCATATCTAAACTCTTTTTTGGTATAATCTTCGTCCCCCAACTCTACTAAGTATGTATAGTCCCTCGTAGTGATATTCCTCAATCAAACCCTGTTTTTGATTTGATGTGTCATTGTTTTGACCATATTTTGGTGTAACTTTTGTCCCTCGACTCTTGATATCATGTAGAATTAGTCCCTAACATGAGTATTCCTCGGCTAAATCCGGTTTTGACTTTTTATGGCACGGTTTTGATCACGTCGTCATTGTAAGGGGAATGCCCCAAGGGTTTGGGATTGGACCTCGGCGAATTGTGCTCCTGTCTCTCTCCTCTGTCGGTTTAGATCCGATATACCACCTATTGTCTTATCCTTACCCCCAACTATCATGTTGACCATCTAAAGCGTGAGAGAGAGAGAGAGATTTCTCTCAATGACATGCGACCCTATGCCACCTTACAATGATGATGTGGCCAAAATCATGTCACATAAGGTCAAAACCGTGTTTGGCTGTTGAATACCGCTGCAAGGGACTAACTATACCTAGTATTAAGAGTTGAGGGACGGAAATTGTACCTAAAAAAAATTAGGGACGAAAGCTACACTTTGCGGTAAGTTGAGGGACGAAAAATGCACTTATCTCTTTTATAAAAGAAGAAACATCATATATTAAAAGTCAATCAACGCTTATAGGATCATCTTCAAAGAATCAAACAAATACTCACAAGATCATTGGAAAAATCAACATGTCTTCTTCCTACACTCTCGTTGGCGGGGCGCCGTGAGTGAAGCTCGATGTCACCTCCGGACCTCCAAAACACCATCGAAGTCAGGGAAATGTTGTTAATGCCGCAGCCAAATGAGAAGACGCATGCAACAATGACTCGAGAAATAGATCACTGCCACGAAGAAGAACGCGACGAAGAGGGGGACATGTGGCCTCGCTGGCAAGGAATGGTGGGCGGTCTCATATTTGGAATAGAGTTGTGCTATCTCCTCTCTCTCTCT